GATAAAAACTACTTTACTTTAGATAAAAGCCTAAATTTAAAAAAGATCTCTTTATACAGAACTAATTTGTTTCTCAAGGTTAAAATTTAGATCAAATATCAACACCATATTTTTGATGTAGGATTTTATAAATGGCTCCAAGCTACCCAGATCTGAAGCAGAAGCACTGTAGTTTCCACTGGGACCAAACATAATAACTTCAGTTTTTTTCATCCTCATTAAAATTTAGACTAAATGAAACAATGAGCAGGTGAAAATAGCAGGAAACTGACTGAGAAAATGAGTGAGAATTGCAGGCACACAGGAAGGTAAGAAGCAGACTAAACACAAAGAAAACACACAAAACACCAAAATAAATTTAAATGAAATTCAAAACAGAAAAACAAACATTGGTTGTCAGTTATACTTAGTTGGTCAGGTACCAGATGCTTTTTTTAGATTAAAAAAATAGAATAACTTTGGCTTCATTCAGCAAAGCTCTCAATTAGCTGTAGCTCAGTTAGGATCAGGTTCCTGCTAGTTTCAAGCTAAATTATTAAAGAGCTTTGTGTTTACAAGCTGGCCCAACTGTTTTCATACGGGAGAATCTCTTCCTTCCGATGGCTGCATGTGAGAAGGCAACTACACATTCTGTGTGTTTATTAATGAGCACACAGAGATTAAAGTTATCTGCTGTGCGTGTGCAGTTATGTTCCCATGTTTAGAAGTTAACTCACTGGTGGAGCAGTGCTCCTGCTGAGAGTGAGAGAAACAATAAATAACAGAAACATCTTCATGAGCTGATAGAGACGCTGTAGTTTCTGTTTTTCACTATATATTTTACATGTTCAAGTGTATTTCTAGAATGTTTTATACATTTTTCGTCAGCAAGTTTTGGTGATATGATTATGAATATAACCCACTTTCTGTCAAAATGATGGATGACTCAAAGGTCAAGGGTCAAGCTGTGACCTGTGGGGTCAAGGTGTGACCTGTGGGGTCATGGGAAATCCCCCCCTCTTTCTCCCCCCTCCCTATACGTACCTTTAAGTTTAGCAGGTGTGTGACCTCTGAGGTCATGAGAGAAGTTCTCTCATAAAAGAAGCAAAAAGGAATAGAAAGTATCTTTTGATGTTGTCTAAATGAGAATGAATGAATTGAACTAAATGTCCCCTTTAATGCATTTTAAAAACAATAAACCTAACCAAACTATCACAGTTGGTTAGGGTCTTGCCATCTTATTGTCTCTCTGACTCTTTGACTCCACAGAAACTGACCTGGTCCATTCAACCCCACCCCCCACACAGACACAGACACACAGGCACACAGGGACACACACACACACACACACACACACACACACA